TGGACGTGTGTCAGCCAATTTATGTAATTCAGAAAAGAAATGCGTTTCTCAAATTGTGATATGAATTGAGAAAGGAGATAAAAATAATTAGACGCTGGAATGTTAAGACAATTTTTATTATGACTCGGCATGGTTAGTAAAAATTGGGGGCAACCTAAATTCAATTCGAACAAACTTTTGATAATTCGTTGATATGTTGATAAAATTTAAACCTACGTTTTAACCAACTAAAATTCCTGGACAGCGACATGAGAAAAAGTTCAGCAAAATACCATCTGGATCAACAAACGGCAGAGCTACTAAACCTAGGACGAGTTTAGGACTAGAATGATAGTAGGATTGCAGACTGGACACTGGAGACTACGGAGGCATAGGCATAGACTCGTAGCGGCTATTACCAGGAAGAAGCAGAAATATCGAAAGCTAAGGAAATTTCATTCAGGACACCAATTGGCCTTGAACCCTTTTGTGACACCACATACCTCGTACCAAATTGCCAAAAACATAGATACATGAGACTTACCATGGATACCATCATCTGACACTTACCATCAGACTGACCATGAGATCACTTCAGGGTCAAGAATAATTCTTCGATGTAATTAGACAGTATTTTAGGACAGAGGCACGAAAAAATTCCATTAAAGAACCATCATAGAAACTAACGACGGAAAAACTAAACCAAGGACATCTTAGGACTGGAATGATAGTAGGACTGCAGACTCCTATGGAATATTTATCAAATCCGAGCAGCTATTGGCAGGAAGAAAACGAAACATCGAAACATATCCTCTTCGGTGGCAAAGTCTATACAACCTGAGATTTATATTCTTGGGAGAGGAATCCTTAAAAAACTTTTGGATCTGAAAAAAATCCTTACCGAAAAGCTCTGGAGATTGCACAATAGACCAATATTGGTCGAGGTGCGTAAGGTCTTAAACAGGTCAACTCCTTATAATCTTAACCTTACCCTTAATATCCAACACATGCAAGCAGTCCAGAAGTCTTTAGAAGAATTCTTTCCCTACTAACCTCAAACTTCAATAATTTGCCGTCCAACCTTAAGCCCCCGATCCCTGTCAGCTATCCCCCCCCCCTTAAGCGACGCTGACCCAGTGGTTTCTCAAGACGTGTTCTCCAGGAGCAGTGCTGATATGGGTATGACCGGTTTGCGTTTGCTCAAATGTTGTTAATATAGAAAATTAGAAATATTTACCTAAATAAATTAAAAATAACATGTGATAAAAGGATTCTGGATACTGTTAAGTTATGAGTCCGAAATTCACGGCCCTGGATTCGAATCAAAATTACTTCCAAATGGAGCACCGGATCCAAGGATATAATAAACTCTACAAAAAATAATAATTTAAAAAAATTAAAAGATACGATAGATAAGAGATAAGGCCAGTTTGAGAGAAAGAAAAACACTCATTTTCTTTGTCAACTTTTTAAACAATGTATCCACTTCATCAGGACTTTGAAACTATTATTAATTTTTTAATTCAAAAGTTCAATAAATGTTGATATCAGTTATAATGAGATAAGTAAAAGTGACGAACTGTGTTATATACGGCTAAATTTTCATCTCAAATAACACAACGTGCTCATCACCCTATTTAAGATTCGTTCATACAAATTCATGGGTTGATTTTCATTAATACGATGCGAACAATCCAAATTTGTGATGTCGCATCGTGCCACCCACAAGGTTATTTTTTCTCTCACTAACGAATAAAAATGAAAGACTTTTATAACAATTTAAGTTTTTACAATAAGAGTTTATTGTGACTTTGAGGCAATAGAAAGTGTTGAAGTTAGGGTTTTTGATTTTCCTTGCAAGTTCCTGAAAGTTGCATCGGACTTAAAACAAAGCACTTAATTCATGTACTTAGGTGAATAAAAAAAACCTTCACCGTTTTAATCCGACTTATAGCACTTGCAGAGCCAAAACAAATTAATCCAAGCTTATTGCGCTAATTGAAAGTTGAAGCGATTGGGAAACAATTTCTATTTTCAGGACTTGGGTTTTCGTTGTTTGAATTCCTTTTTTCTCGTGACCTTTTGTCGTGCGAGGTGAAACGTTTGTTTTTGCCAAAATCCCTTAGGAAACAGTTTGGACTAGGAGACCTTCCATAAAGTCATTTATAGAGCATAAGAATCAACAATTATGACGAAACAGGAGAACGTCTCTATCCCATGGTAATGAGCGGTGCGGAAAGATATTAAGATTTAATGCTATTCCCTTTTCTCTACTGGTTTATTATCGACAATAAACATAGAAATTATAAAAATTAGAACAAACAAGTATGTGTTAAAATAGTTTAAATTTAGAACAGTACAACATTCTTTTTCTTTTATTTTTAACAAAAACAATCGAAAACACGGATTTTGCCATTTCTAGCGTGCCTTGAGAAAATGGCGGTTTTTATACATTTAACCAGAGCTGATCAAAATTGAAATATTTTATGTATAAATGCGAATTGATTCGATATGAAATAGTTCATATGATGATGATGGTGGTGGTGGTGGATACTAGGAGGTGTGGGGCTTTGTTTCCCAAGCAGTACGGCAGCCTTCTGACTTACAGTAGTTCAGTGCAATTGACTTAATACTTTAAAAAAAAGAAGTACTAGGTCATTGACTGTCGTTGCTACAATTCCTTTCACTGGGTTTACTTTGTATCCCATGTTATTTCTTCATTTGGTGAATGGCTGTTTAATCTGCAAATGGAGTCACTATTGAATACACTCATTCTATGCAGATGTTTTCTCAGATCTCACTGGCGTATAGCCATACCACTTCTCTAAATTTTGTCCTCTCTAACTGTAGCAGTGAGTTCACCAGTCTTGGTGAGGGTTATTTTGACATAAGCTTCTGTGTCTAGCATCTCTAGAGTTTATTCACTTTTCCTTTTGCCTTTTTTGAAGCCATTGTGTGATGGAGGAGTCTGAGATTGTTTTTGCTATCCCAAAAATAGGTTCAGGGCCTGTAGGCCTTTCAGATCCTCCTTTGGCCAGTACGTCTTTATTTTTACTTTTTCGTTACCCAAGACATCATCAGACTGTTATGTTTCCCCAGGTTTTGCAGATTTTGGATGCAGTCACCGAATATTTTTTACATGACAATGCTTTAACAACTGCTTGGTTATCGATCTTATCGTGAATGTTTTTTCAGTTTAACCACTTTTAAGATTTTCTAGGACGCAGGCATTGATGGCTATTTCGGCTTGAAAGACCGAGCTGTACGTCTCTAATGAGTTGAGTACTAATTGAGCTTAAGAGCATGAGAGTAACGTTGAATTTTGGGATTGTACAGAAAACGCCTCATCCGGTTCCTTTATGACGAAAATGTTTTTAAATTGCAAATTCCTTGTAAAAATGCGATATCTCGAAGGAAACAGACGAATAAAAACTCTTTAACTAATTCCTTTTCTGAACGTAAAAATAATTACTAAATAAACATTTTTTCAAAACGACACAAAATGGATAAAATAGAATTATTGAAAAAAAACACATACTTATTTTACAAGCCAATACCCCTTTTTTAATGGCTATTATAATCGAAATGGTCAGTAAACATTGCCCTAGCAATTTTAGCATATCTTTTAAGAATGGCCGTTGTCTGATAGAACTGAAGGCAAGTGAAATATTCATAAGGTCTTCCTGGCCTGAGAAAATGGCGGTTCTCTGAGAGAGCTAATGACAAGTGAAATATTCCATAAAGTCTACCCCGTGCCAAAAGATGTCAAGACAGGTTAAATCCCATCCAATATCCATATTCATCCCAGGTTTAGTAAATTTACAGATTTTCCAAATTTGCCAAAAGATCTTCGTTTATTTTTGTCCAACTTCGAACCGATTGACATTGAAATTTAAGATTTTAAAATGTATAATCTAATATACTTTCACTTCTTTTAAGTCGTTACGTATTTTTCTAATGGCTATTAAAACAAAATCCTTTGTAAATCACCGATCGAGCCTGTCTTGAGAAAATGGCGCTTTTCTGAAGGCGCCAATGACAAGTAAAAAATTACATAAGGTCTTCCTGTGCCAAAAGATGTCAAGACAAGTTAAATCCAATCCAATATTCATAATATAACTGCATATCTTTTTTAAAAAAAAAATTCCAACAACAAATTTTAGATTTAAAAAAATTCCTATCATCTCAGGTTTAGTAAACTTAAAATTTTTTCCAAACTTGCAAAAAAGATCCTCGTTTATTTTTGTTCAACTTGGAACTGATTGACATTGAAATTTTAAAATGTATATTCTAATTTCATGATATATCGATGTTGTATTCTAGAAAAAACGTGTTAAACTTCCACATGACAAGCACCGCAATATAAAATTTAAATATACTTTCATTTCTTTTAAGTCGTTACGTATTTTTCTAATGGCTATTATAAACAATATCCTTTGTAAATCACCGATCGAGCCTGTCTTGAGAAAATGGCGGTTTTCTGAGAGAGCTAATGGCAGGTGAAATATTCCATAAGGTCGTGCCAAAACATGCCAAGACAAGTTAATTCCCAACCAATATCCATAACTGCATATCTTTAAAAAAAAAATCCTAACAATAATTTTAGATTTAAACAATTCCTATCATCCCAGGTTTAGTAAATTTAAAGAATTTTCCAAACTTGCAAAATATTCTCGTTTAATTTGTCTTTTTGAAAAAAAAAAGTGATCAAAGTTATTCACTTATGCAGTAATCGTGAAAATGTAACAAATAAGCTCACGAAGGAAGTTCATAACTGCGATACTTGCATCGGAATCTGATATTGGCAAGCGCAAAAGCTTTCATGATTGAATTTGGCTTAAAAAAAAATCCTCTCCTGTGGTTTTTAGTACTTACAACAAACGGGGTGATGAAGGAATGATGAGGCGATTACATTATCACGGGTAATAAAAATTACCGTTGCCGGCAAACGGAAGGAAGAAGGACTGTCAAAAGTGGTTAAATTGACTGAAGAGTCGGCAAAGAAAGAAGGTGCAACTCACCTGGCCCATTTTATTCCAGCAAGGATGATATAGACGAAGGAGGCGGCCACTCCGATGAAGAGGCCCAAAGAGATCCCGGCCGATGCTATCCCGACACCCATGCCTACTTCACTAAAACCCCCTCCAAGTTTCGTTCTCCAAGCTCGCTAATCTATTTGTGTTTCTCCAAGGTGACTAATCACGTAAGTTATTTATCTCTCAAGAAGAATAATTAACGTACAACAATGAATATATTCGCATTAATAGGGGAAAAAATTAATACCCGCGCATTCGATCCTGCCAGTACTAGGAGGGATGATGGCAACCTAGGCGTTGTCTTCTGCTGAGAAAAAAAAAACAAGTACAAACACAATATTTAGACTATTTTTTGACATATTTTATAATTACTATTTTAATCAATAAGGCCAAGCATTTTATCGCCTGACTCATTCATTTGGAATTTTTCATTTCTATTTTTTATGTTTTACACACCTCTAACGCTGTAATATATATTCTTCACCCACTTCACCTCACTAAATAAACTTCACTGCCTTCTCCTCAGAAAGGAGGTCTTATGATGCCTTATGGGATTGTAGGGATGGGTTCTGATGGACAAGGCTTGGTCGAGACTATTGCGGTGATGGGAGATATTACTGTGGAACTTGGTAAATTTTTGGGGATTATATTTTGAATAAATAAGATTTTAAGGGCATTGTGGAGGGTAGTATGGAGGCATAATCCGGAGCAATTATAATTAATATGAAGACTTTAGATTGAAAGGTTTGGAGACGTTGGATATTGGAAGGTGTAGCTGTTCCCCACAATTCTATTCCGTATGTCCCAATCGGTAGCAGTAGGGTTTTGTAAATTGTACGTTTGTTTCTCATCGATAGCTTGGATTGTTGTTCTATAAATTTGTAGAGTAGACTGCTGTATCTTTTACGACTTGTTGTTTGTGTCGTATGTGCTGATTTCATGTTAGAATGAGTCTAGGTGGAACTCAAGGTAGCATACACAGGAATGTTGTAATATATTGTGAGAGGATATTTGCTTCAAAGTGTAAATGCGACATGGATGCACTGGCTTTTATCTTCATTTTCTATTGTCTACACCAATCTGCTGTACATGTGATATGTCTCTGCAGATATTCTGAAGCAACTGCAGGATCAGGGTTAGAGGATAGTACAGCTGTAACATTGGCAAAATATGCAATAAGGGTGGTAGGTTTAGGGCGAACATGTGCAGTATAAAAAGGATATAGAGGATTGGTCTAAGCCCTGTGGTATTCCTACAGCCAGAGAGCAGTATTAGGAGTAATCTGATCCTAGTCGGACTCGAATGAACCGCTCTGTTAGATAAGAGCGGAGGATTAAGTAGAGGGTATTTGGAAGGACTCACAATTAAACAAAACTGGGATTTTATTTATAAATTAGAATTAGTATGAACGATTAAGCTATAAGGTGCAAATTAACCTTGAGGGAGGTTGGTTAAAAATATGGCTGCTACTAACATAATATAGGAGTATTTGGTCCAGGAACCGGGAACCAATTTTCCCGTAGGAAAATACACCCGTATCTTCCAGCTGTGTCCATGCAATTGAGAGATGTACCCAGTTCAATTTGGACAAAGGGAATGAAAACAAGAAAATAGTTATCATATCAGAAAGCCAAACATCCATCAAAGCACCATGATTAGTTAAGATGGTGCTGAATTACAAAATTAAACTAAGTAGATTAGGTACACAAAAAAGCCACCTTCTGCTAGGTCCCAGGACATGTGGGAGTAGAGGGCAATGAGAGAGCAGACACCCTTACAAGGAAAGGGGCTGCCATACCGCTCGGAGGTCCTGAGCCTTATAGGAATTCACACTATCAACCTTAGACGAAAAGGCAAATGAAAATGAAGAAACAGTGGAATTCACTCATTGGACATAAACAATCCAGACAAAAACAACATAAAGGATGAATGGAACCAGACACTGTAGACTTGTAGACTGAATAGACATCTGACAAAGGCTGGTATAAGAACACGGAACGTGCAGATTCTGCAAAGAAGCAGAAGAGACACCAACACACCTACTATCAAACTGTGGCATCACATTTGCCCGCAGGAGGAAATGTTTTGGGATGTACACTGTAACCAAAGAAGAAATTCAACCACTGAAACTGGGCCTAAATCAAGTTTCTTGATGAACTAGTACTCTCTGGTCTGATATAAATACAGAAAAAGGTTATAAATAGCTCTCAAAGTGCACAGTACATTGCTCACCCTGAACATTACATCTACATTGTAAAGAACGAATTGCATGGGAATTTATCTTCTATGTAAGGCCTAGGAGCTATGAGAAGAATAGTAAAGTCAAAATGTCAAAAATATAGCATGAAGTTAAAAAAAGAATGTCTAGCCAAAGGGCAAACCTCTCAACCATGTGACCAGAACCGCCACAAGTCTCACTGTATAGTATGCTAAAGTTAAAGGTGGAAAAAAGGCTTGGGAAAAGTACCAGGTATAAGGCAAGAAAATTATAGACTTGGCCCCCGGCTAATATCATTTAAAGAAGAAGAAGATGGGCAAATCAGTAATGAAAACACGCCAAATTTGTCAAGAGAAACCAGAGTCATTGGCACATAGCTTTATGAGGCACTAGCTCATTACCGAATAGCCGTTTCGGTAAGGCAATTTTCATACGAAGGGAAATCCATGAAGCATTGGAGGAAAGTGCTTAGTTTTGTGGGAAAAGCACTAAAAAAAAAAAAAAGATGTTGCAGAAAAAGCAATATAGGACTTCCACAGTAGACCTATATAACAATGTTTCTGTGTATAATAGATCAACTACATTAGCATCTTGTCTCATTCAGCATCTACTTCCAAAAAAGAACAAGATTGAGAGTTTTTCATAATTTTTCCTCAAACTGAAAACTTGATAAGAGCTGTTGTTCTAGTTAAAATGGTTACAGATTGCAACTTTGTAAAGGAAATTGACTTCCTAAACCTTGAATATATTCTCATAATTATGTATGATGTAATTTTGAAATTAAGGTTATTATTATTATATCTACTTCCTGTTGCAATTAAAAATATGAAACATACCACAATGGTGTGTCATACTCAGTGATTCATATCCTTGAAAATTGGCTGATTCTAGAGCAATGTCAGTTTGGGTCACTTTCTCCCAATTAGGATTTTTTGATCAAAATAAAATTTGTTCTTTCTTCTTTTGGCAAAACTGAAGTCCACTAGTCAAGACAAACAAAAGTTTATTGTAAATAAATCATGCATTCATTTTATACAGTAATATTAATAAGTTAACTTAATATGACCTGGTTGTTGAAACCATCATCCAAAGTTCTGGGAGCAACCAAAGTAACCAAATAAAAAGTTTTTCTTTTTTCATTTTCAAAAATTAAATTCCTAAACATTTTCTATATCTCCAGGAAGTCGTGCAGAATTTAGACAGGCATAATCAGTCATAACCACCATCTCACAAATCCGGATCATTCATCCTTAGAAAAAAAGGTTTTTTTTTTCCAAACACATCTGTGAGAATTGGGCAACTGCATATAAAATGAAAGGTATGCTCACCTTTGTTGCATATTGCTCACTAGGACCTCCTCCCTTGATCTTCATCATACAAATTAGCATTTATGTTTAGCGTCTCTGCCTTTAGATTAAATACCCATCTTGCCATCTATGCATCCACCCAACTCTCTTTCAAGCTCTAATACTTTCTCACCAACATTGTCCCTTTATAGATAACAAATCTTCTTTGCAACATTTCCGACCCTGTGCATGTATGCCCCTGCCTCCTTTTTGTTTATTTTTTTTACGAGGGTTTGCAACAGCAGAGGTTATATCGGGGTGCCAGTGTTTTTGAAAAAAAGCCCATTTGTAAGTATGTCGGGCTCGAATGCAGGTCCGCTGGATTCGAACCCGGGACCTTACAGTGATGAGCGCCGTGTTAACACCTAAACCATTGCGGCCACCAACGCCCCTTACTCTATTGTTACTAATACTTTTACTTTTATACCTAGTGCATACCTCTAGACAGTTTAACATTTTTATTTGCCTTGTCACCTATTATTTGTTTTACTACATTTGCTTGTTTTTCCACATTGTTTCTCAGAACTTTAGCCATGAAAGAACATCTTTTTAAAGAGACCATTATTTCCATTGATTCTAAAATATAACAATTAATGACTGGGTAATCAACAACAAAAGAGAACAGCTTTCAAACTGTTCTAAAGTACAAATGAGCATTTAAAGCTTACTCAGTTTAGCTATGGCTTACTTCGTTCAGTATTTCAATATATAATCAAATAGAAATTTCTTCTTTTTCTTGTATATCTGCTTGACAGCTAATAGTTTAGTTTGTTCATACAGTCTTTGTTGTACAGAATAATACAAAATATTTTTTTGGTCAAGATAAATAACAAATCAAAAACAAAAGTTGTTAGAATATTTTTGAAATACTTAGCATTTATTAATAAATTGTACATAGCGCCCAAAGTGACTAAAAAGGATGGTTCAATTTCACATATTATAAATTAACAAAAGGTTTTAGACCAGCCCAGACCTACTCCTTACGTTTTCTTTTATTAATTGCATTTCGAGGATCCGTAATATCATACCAATCATCTGACATCGTATTTGCATCCTTTGCTAATATTTCTCTACTTTCTGAAGCAATTAATTCATGCGTAACCCTGAAAACAATCACACTGAAAGTTTTGGTGGCATACATAAATGCTATACAATCCTAACTGATCTGCTAACTCCCTTAACACATTCATTGCAACTGGTCTGCAGGCAGATCATAAGGCATACTACATAGCGATCGCAGAATGATAAAAAACTAACCTAGTTTAATGGGTCTGTTAGTTGCTCTACATTCTGCCACAAACGCACCCATTTACTCAAACATTCACTCTAATAAATATACTTTTTTTTGTAGATAGAGTGGTTGTATATGAGAGAAACCCTGACTGTTCACAAATTTTTAATTGTACATTTAGTATGTAAGGATTTAGTTAGTGAGAATGTATTTATCAGAGTGAATGATACCGAATCCTGAGCAGAATATTCAATAAATTGAAAGCAGAACACGTAAGGGCCAACTAGGAATGATAATAGAGACTCAGAAGTTCCTTAAAAATGAAAGATCACCAAGGCCTCTGGAAAAACAAATTTTTTCAAAATAAATAAATCATATGACTAGTAATATTTGGGGTGTAGTATACTGCGCCCTTTAATACGACTAGTAAAGAAAGGGTTAAAATTTGCTGCCTGGAGGATGAAAATTGAAATTCGAACCTGCATTGAATGTGTTAAACGCATACATCAGTGAGGATGTTTATATATACCAAAATAAATACTATACCATTCATTCGTCTTATCAGAGGAATCAGAATTTTTTAAAGAACGGATTTTGTTCTGAAAATCTCTAAATTTTTGTAATGTCAAATCTTCTGTAGTTTTTTTATCTAAATAAATAAATAAACATTTAGAACCAATTGAGATATTGGGTTGTCCGGAAAATAATGCAGGATTTTGGTATTAAACAAAAAAAAAGAAACTAGTTACTTTAAAGCAATGTTCTTTAATCAAATCCCAACGTGTTGGTAACTTATTAATTCCGTCTGAGTAGAATTCAGAATTTTTAGAATTGATAAAGTCAATAAATGCATTTTCCAGTTCCGTTTGATTTTTGAATATTATGTGTTGTAAGTAGTGGTCCAGGTGTCTAAAAAAATGGTAGTCAGTAGGCGAGAGGTCCGGAGAGTAGGGTGGGTGAGGCAAAGTTTCATAGCCAAGCTCCAATAATTTTTGTGACGTTACACGTGACACATGTGGTCGAGCGTTGTCATGCAACAAAATGGGCCCTTTCCGATTGACCAAAGAGGGCTTCATTACTGCCAATTTCTGATGCATGGTATTAATTTGGTTACAGTATGATTCAGCATTGATGGTTTCGCCAGGATTTAAGAAGCTGTAGTGTATTAAACCAAATGAAGCCCACCATACCGTAACCATTACCTTTTTTTGATGAGTTGGGGGCTTTGGAAAATGTATTGGAGCTTCTCCTTTGTCGAGCCACTGTCCAGAACGTCTAGTGTTATCGTAGAGAATCCACTTTTCGTCACATGTAACAATTCTGGCCAGAAATGGGTCATTTGTGTTTCGACAAAGAAGTGATGCACAAACATCAAAGCGCTGATTTTTTTGGCGATCGTTTAATGAGTGTGGAACCCAATTTTCGAGTTTTTTCACTTTTCCAATCGCCTTGAGGTGGTCAGCGACGGTCGTTTTACTGACTTTGAGTTGCTCTGCAAGTTCTCGAACAGTTGTTTTGGGGTTTTCTTCCACCACTGATCGCAGAACATCATCATTAAGAGAGGAAGGCCTTCCACGACCTTCTTCATCTTCAAGGCTGAAATCTCCCTCCCGAAATTTTTTAAACCACCTTTGCACAGTGCACTCATTAACACAACCCTCGCCCCAGACTTGGTTAATGTTTCTAGCCGTTTGGGCTCCGCTTCGGCCGAGTTTAAACTCGTAAAAGAAAATCGTACGAAATTCTCGCTTTGACATTATAAGGATGACTGAATTATTTCCAAGTAGCGGAATGCTACAGAGGTAAACAAACAATATCATTTGGAAGAGGATTAATAAGTGTTGACATTCATACAAATGAGTAATCCTGTAAACGTAAACAGAATATTTTATATAGATTTTTTTTAATGAAAACTTAAAATCCTGCATTATTTTCCGGACAACCCAATAATACAATGCACATGATAACATACTTGATTTTGTTCGTTTCAGATGTGCATACATATTTGTTAAGGCCAAATACTCCTCATTTGTCGTATGTTTTTTGCTATTTGCTTTTACCTCCACACTAAAATTAAATATACATATTAAACATATTTTTTCTCTAGATTCTTGAGAAACTATGCACAGATAAAAACTAGCGAGAAGGAAAAGTAATTCGTGAATACTATTCAGAAAATGTGTTATACCTTGTTTCAACGCTTTTGACTTTTTTCTTTTCGGGCCTTTTTACCATTTCATCATCTGTGTTTGATTCTGAGCTTTTATCTCTTTTGTGAGCTTTCTTTATATCCTTTTTAACTGATGGTTTGCTTTCAGATGAGTCTGGCGAAGTTTTTCCTGTATTATCAGGTGTCTCTTCGTCCTTAGTATCAGTCTCAGCTTTATCCTTTATTATGCTCTTATCTGTAGGACTATCTTGCACAACAGTTTTCTCTTCCTGTTTTGTATCTCCTGATTTTTTAGACAATTTTTGCCTGACATATTCTAACCCAGTGCTGAAAAAAGTTAAACATTACAATTGTACAAGAGCCTAAATGGCAGTCATTACTATTACAGTTTTGGCTCAGTTATTTCTGGTTCAACGGGTAATGGTTCTTCCACCAAGCCAGGCACAGCTTTAGATTTATTAGAATACTCTTTATTTGCCTCCAGCAAAGTTTCTTCATCTTCTTCTGCTTCATCTCCAAACGAAAGCAATTTAAAATCCCTGAAAATTGGGTTACAAAATCATTTAGAATAGTGATTATTAGTTTATGGTTTAAAAAATGTATTTTATGACAACTAGGATTGGTTGATACAACCATTAATTGATAAAATAGTTATGCAGAACAAACTATTTGTTAATGTTATTCACAGTATTAGCAATATTGTTACAAATTTTCAGGAACAAACTTTTTCAGCTTCAAATTATCAAACAAAAGCAGTTGCAAATTCAAGTTACTAAAATCGGTATTCTTGATGTATTTTCATTAAAAAATAAAAATTACAAGGCAAAAAAACTACCAACAAAATAACCATTTTTTTACTTAAAAAAAAAAAAAAATAGTGAATACTTATGCAAAAAGACAAAGTACTGGAAAAAAACTGCTTACTTTACCCCTTGGATTTCTTTTTTCTTTTGTGGTTTTTCAGCTATCTTCGGTAGTTCCCTTTCCCTTGGGACTATATCTGTAAATGGGTTCAAAAGTATTTCTGTTGAATTAATTTTTTGTGGGTATACCGGGCGGTCTTCCTATAGATTAGACGACAGGTGAGAACATGTGATCAATTTATTCCTTAAAACTAATTTTACCACACGTAGAAATTACTGACATCTACAATTTCTCCTTCTTCTAACTTAATCATGTTGTAAATTGTATCTCCGCCCACTTTTCCGAAAATTGTGTGTTTATTCTGCAATTCCGGAGTAGCTCCGAGGGTAAAGAAAAATTGTGAACCGTTGTCATTTTTTCCTGCATTAGCCATTGCGACCAGACCTCTTTTATTAAATCTCAGCCTAGTATGAAATTCATCCTACAAATAATTACATAGAGAATCGAGTCAATGAAAAAGAATAATATAAAGTTGTAAATTTGAAAAAAAAAATTACTTTGAATGGTTCACCGTATATCGATTCACCCCCATTTCCGGTGCCTGTTGGGTCTCCACCTTGTGCTATGAAGCCTTTGATTACACGATGAAATGTAGTGTTGTTGTAATAATTTTCCATGCAGAGCTGAACAAAATTCCTGCATGCCAAGGGAGCTTCTTTTGACCATAGTTCAATATCTATATCACCCACTGTAGTCTTAAGAAGGACCTAGAAAACATCCATTTTATGAAATATACGTAGGCAAGAAAAAATGTTTTAAAAAACAAATATGTAGTAGTAAATGAATACAAATATTTTGGGATTACGCTAACTTTAGAACATCATATCAAGGAGAAAATAGAAACTAAATTTGGCCTTTAAGTTTTTTATAAAATCATTTTTCTATTTGTTGTCTTACCATTGCTGTCAAACTGAAAATTACATGATGTTCAGTTTTATGTTATGAGGCTCCGATTTGGGGATTCCGAGTATATAATATGATTGAAACAGCACTCAAGTTCTTTAGTAAAAAAAAAATCCTGAAATTGCTCAAAAAACTACAAATTCCTTCTATTAATTAGAATCTGATGTTATGCCAGGTTGTCTAGTTACATTAAAATTTCATAGGTCCCGTTTTTTCCAAAAATCTTAACGGCGGACCCAAATGCTGCCGTACTCGAGCACAATGCTCATATTGGGTGGCATTCCTATTCCCTCCCTACATGTAGCCAATAAATGAAACCCTGCAATTAAGTAGACACATTGAGCAACCTTTCTCTGCATGATAGACATGCAGGCTTTGTACAGAGAGTAAATGTCTGTGTGTCAGCAACGTATCCAATTCTGAGCCGGTCAGATCCTTCTTCTACGATTTAGATTCCCAGCAGGCCACTTTGGGCATGCAAGGATGATCTTGGACGATCTAGTCCACTGACCATCTTTTGGTGAACATATTTTTTATCGCATATTTATCCTCAGAGTCGAATCAAGATAATAAAGTCTGGACAGTGGGCCACAGATTTGTTACCCAGGTACCCAGAACTTGTCATTTTTCCGAGCTTATCTTTAGAACTCCAAGGGTGTGGTAGTCCATGAAGACAATGTGAAAACTGGCGACCTATGTTTAAGAAAATTAACAAGTTGATGACAAGAGATATGGCTGGGTAGTCGCTTTGGCCACGGACATCAGAATTATCTTGGAAGGAGGAATATTATTATAAAATATGTAAATTAACCGCCAAGTCACTGAGGTTGGGCTCTAGGTGCTGTCAAAAACTAGGTAATTTCAGCACCCAATGCAAACAGTTCCTAAATCAAACCCGTTCACACTCTCACTCATTCTTAAATGCATTCTTTCCTATTTACATTTCATTCACGCAGTTAGACAACTTACGTAATTGAGGGTCGATGGGGTACTCAATATTCTGCGTATGGCCCTCTCACATTACACTTCACACTAATAAATACATTCACTCTCAACACACTAGGGACACACAAAAAATATCAGTATTATATACAGTATAACAATCATGTTTCCTCCAAAAATCAAAACAGGGGACCCAGATACTCGCTGCCATGCTCAGTTCTCATATCGGGTGGTATTCTGACATTCCTATATGGAGCTAAGGAGTTCACCCTTAATTAAGTGGACACATTGAGCAACATGCCAGACACATACACGAGCTTTGGCCCAAAAGTAAGTATCCGTGAGTCAACCTCTCATTGCCTATCCTTAATCGGGTGAGGATGACCCTTTTTCTATGAGTCAGGTCTTCTGAAGACCAGCTACCGACATCAATCTTGATACACGAGAGCTTCTCTTCCGATCCGGTCCCCAACTGCCATTTAAAAAAAAAAAATTATTGCATTTGTAGCGTCGGGGCCAGATCGCGGTGGTTATCTTGAGGTTGAACGTCCCTTAGCCGCCTTTTCGTTACCCCTGACCTATGTGTCCAGGTACACAGACAACCACCGTTTTGACAGATGCTCCAGTTCATGGTATTTCTCCAGCAAGAGCACCCCAACAGGGTTGATGGAGAACCTGTCATGGACAGAAGTATCCGCACTGAGGTAGTCGGTGAAGACCAGGTAAACTAAGCCATTGCCTCGAATCACCTCAGGCGCCAAATCGCACACAATTCCGCCATGTAAACGCTATTGTGAGAGCGACCATGAAAATGGCCACACCCCTGCAATACACAATAAACAATAATAATCAACAATATAAGTCCAGACGTTTTTTAAATTAATCGTGCTTGTTTAAGCTTAAGTATTTGTTTTATTATAGGTCTCCTAATGAATAATACAATAGTTCGACTTTTCCATATTACACTTTGATCGAAACAAAATTCAGTTTATAAATTAGCAATTCAACAATTGTACATGTTGTTATTCTAATTTATTCGAATAAAAACAATCAAAATTTCAAGCTCTTTGACAGTATAATAGGATTTTGTTACCTTGCCATACGTCGGCGGTTCCTGTATATATATAGTACTCATGGCTTATAATATTTTTTCAACGGATAAAGTCAGGCAAATGTCAAATTCGGATTTAAACCGGAAAGTTTGAAAATACAAATCAGTGTGTGTACTCTGTATGTTTGAAAGGGCAAAAACAAACTTGGAGGTAAATATCAAAACTTGCCTTGATGTCTCAATCGATCCAGGCAGGCAGTCACACGTCACGTAATGGAGTTCCAACAGTTTTTATTTTTATTTTTTATTGGCCTTATGATCTTGCATATTAGCCATAGTACGAATTCTTGTGTATTCAAATTGGGGGTTATCGGGAAAAAAGGGCCAGAGGCGACGGTGGGAATCGAACCCACGACCGCGGCGTGAGAGTCTCTCATGCTAACCACTCGGCTACCGCGGTCCCCAGTTCCAACAGTTGTAACTATAATAAAAATCCATACATGTATTTAACAGTCATAATTGACCATCTTAATTAATATCATAAAAATAATAATATATTTATTATACGGAGAAAAATTCAATATATAAAAATGATTAAATATATAAAATATGATGTATAAAACAAAACCAAGAAAACAAAGGAATAAAAATTTACATGAGTTTTAAATAAAATTGTACATAAAATGGGAAAAAATAAAATAAAATATATATAAGCGTTTTTATTTGAGGAATCGATTACTATACCATACAGCAATTCAGCTAAATACCTGGGAATGAACCGGAACTATCTTGAATTGGTTATCCAGCTTTCTCTCCGACAGAAAACAAATAATCAAAATAAAATCATTTAAATCATGTCCCTTTGCGGCTTCCTCGGGAGTCCCGCAAGGGTCTCTTCTTGGACCAGTTTTGTTTCTCTTATTTATTAATGATATCCATCTTGCTCTCCCTTATGCTCAATTTTTATTATTTGCTGATGATCTGAAAATCTATTCCAAAATTACTTCTCCTTCTGATTGCTTACAATTACAAAATTCTATCAATAATGTGCTAACCTGGTGCTCTAATAACAAACTTGCTCTTAATGTTTCCATATGCTACACAATTACATTCTCTCATAAGAAACAACCTTGTATTTATCACTATAATCTCCATGATGCTCTTTTAACACGAGTTGAGGTCATAAAGGATCTTGGGTACTTTTTGATCAAAAGCTCAAGTTTAAAGAACATATTTCTTCAATAAAAAATAGATCTATGAAGATGCTAGGTTTCATCATCCGGAACACCTATGAATTTAAAAATCCTCTATGTTTTGTCCATCTTTATAAAGCTTTTGTACAACCCATACTAGAATATGCTACACCTGTTTAGAACCCATTCTATCTAAATTATCAAAAATTGTTCAAAACAACTTTTTAAAAAAACTTTCCTACAAACTCAATCTTCTTCCGAATTCTGCCTACCCTGGAATCCACTCTGAATTTAAACTTTTCGAACTGGCACTAAGAAGGGATTACTTTGATATTGTTTTTGTATTTAAATTATTAAACAATCTCATTGATAGACCTTCTCTCCTCTCTCAACTACAGCTACATGTCCCTTCGCACTCTCTTAAAACCTATAAATTATTTTATATTGAATTCCAAAGCTCTAACTACATGCTCTCTTCTCCTCTACACAGAATGATGATCAAGAGTAACAACATCTGCAATACCATTGACTTCTTCAATAGTTCTGTGCAATATGTGAAAAACCATATCCTACAACCTTAGTTGAGTATTTCGTACCGCACAAAATTTATTACAATTTATTTCATTTACTGGTTCAACTAAATCTCACACTCTAGTCTCATTATATATTTACAAAGAGCATTATTTTCATTAAATATGTACCTAAATATTGTAGTTTCAATTGTCTTTCAGCTTGATTTTGTTTCCTTTGCCTGATTTGGTTAGTAATTATGTCTTTCATTTTTGTTGTTCAGTTATTACTCTTTAATTGTATTTTTATATTATCATTTATATTTACCATTTATATTATTGCCATGTATATATGTCCTAATTCTTTTATATATATTATTTGTATTTGTACATATATTATTTGTATTTTTTGTTATTGTAAAATGTCTTTTTTATAGTGGATTTCGATCCATAAATAAATAAATAAATAAATAAGTAATTACCGTAGATGCCAAGCTGAGATGGAAAGAACACGTGACGAAAAAAAAGGACAGAAATAAGTTTATGGTATAGACAACTATACTGGTTGATAGGATGTGGCTCAAATCTAGCTATACAAAATAAAATATTATTATATAAACAAGTCATAAAGCCTATGTGGACATATGGTATTCAACTATGGGGTTGTACCAAACACAGCAATATTATACAGTATACAAACACTCCAAAATAAAATCTTACGTAACATGGTCAATGCACCTTGGTACATAAGGAATAAGGACTTACATAGGGATTTTAAGATCCCTGAAGTCACGGCGGAAATATAAAGATTTGCTGCCAAACACCAGGCTCGCCTCAGCCAGCACGAGAATGTGGAAGCAACCAAACTCTTACATAACCAAAACATGGTCAGAAGATTAAAAAGAACAAAGCCATATGAAGTGTAGTTGTGTAGTTAAAAATGAACAGTGAATAGTGAAATGTAACTCTTATTGTACCAATGGGTTTATAAGAATGTAAACATTTATTTATTCTATAATATTATTATAAAATTAATGGTTGATCTAATAAGACCAGTTTTAATAAATAAATTTAATTTTAAAAAAATTTACTGTTCAAATATTACTCATGAAAATGTTTTTGAAGCTATCCTTTCAATTAAATAATCATTTTAATACTGCAAGATTCTTCATATATGTTAGCTCAATTAAGTCTTATGAAATTGCATATAAATAATACATTTTTATAAACAAATGAAGAAGAAAAAACAGACTTTGCAAACTTCGCACATGTTTACAGCATAGTTCAGTACTTAATCATAAGAATGACATAAAACAAAGCAAGTTATTATGCTAATTCTACAATAAATACAATGTTTTGTGATAGTTTTAATTTGAAGGTATGTTACGCATGATATATTTTTGATGACATTAAATCAGCTGATGTTTTCTTTAAAAAAAAAAATTAAATTAAAAAATAAATAAATAAATAAATAACAAAATATAAAAACTTAATTCACTTCACAACAAGAACTAGTCGAATTGGGATTTGATCCTACGATTCATTCAGTGGCTGCATATCCTTGATTTATGTTATGAGGATGACACTGATGGCAAAATTTTGAAAGTTACAGAAACTTTTTTTGTAAATTAACATATACAACCATTTTTGAACAAAATAATTATTACAAGGTTAACTTTATTTATAACACTTATTTTCTCTTGTTATATTTTTATTTTTGCACTGCACAAGAATTTATACAGTTTATTGTATGTTGTTTTGGTGTATGAGGAAAGCAGAATTTCGTAGTTTATATCTTCCCCTAAGATGCTACTTCTTTCTGCTTTGTATCTTTTGCATCTCATTATGATGTGCTGAAGATCTTCTACGGAACCACACACTTGGCATTGAGGTGTACTGAAACATACAATAAATATTACAAATTACAAAGAATTCTTACAAAGAAGACAGTGCTCGTTTATGCCCTGACGTTAATGAATTAAACGTGTTTTTTGCTTACATGTCCTCTTCCTCCAAACTAAAACTCCATTTCTATTCATCTAGTTCACCAAAAAGTTGTCCTTTAGTTTTTCAAATATTACTCATGAAAATGTTTTTGAAGCTATCCTTCCAATTAAATCTAATGATACACGTTCTGATCTTATTCCAATTAAACTCATCATTTTTTCCTTCCTGTTACTTTAAAACACATAGCCCACATTTTAAACTTATCTCACACCTCAACTTGCTAGTGGCCACTGCCCTATTAGTATTCTTACACCACTAAATCTCTTGAGAATATTTTATTTAAACAAATGTCTTTATTTATTGACTTCTATGCCCTTATATCCCCTTTTCACGGTTGTGAGATAGCCCTTCCCGAAATATCAGATATTCGCCTAGACATTGGTGATAATAAGTGTACTATTATTGTCATACTTGATTTTTCCAATACATTCCATAAATAATAATCGTGTTTTCTAATGCATTGCTACAATAATAATTTGCATATTTGGAAACTGATGCATCTTTTTGGTTTTTTCTTCTACCGCTACTTAAATATATATAATTTAATTCTTACATAGTCCTGCCATAAGTTCTGTTACAAGAAAAAGGGCCATTAGGGAATAGAGAAACTTGATAATTTGAAAAAGAAATTTATTTTAAAAAATCCAATATTTTTTAAGATTGAAATAAAATAATATTACTCGAAATGACCACCTTTTGCCTTCACACAAGCTTTTAGTCTTCGGGGCCAATCATCTATGGCAGTACGCAACACGTTTTGAGGAAATTTCTCAACTGCTTTTAGCAGAGCGGACTTGAGGCTCTCTAAATTGGCGAGTTTCCTGTGGCAAGCCATAAGCTCAAGATGGGACCACACCTTGTATTCCAGAGGATTCGTTAAGAAATTTGAAATCATCTGTGAAAAACTTAATTTTTTTATTCTAATTTTATTTAATTAATTATTTTATTATATTTAAGATGGTTTTGCCCTGATGATGACCTAAAATAGGTTGAAAACTTGGCAGTAACAATTGAATTGGCTTTTTCATCAAGGTCATATTGTGATACAGAGTATTCGTGAGTAGAAAAGAGGTTGATAAAACTAACACTTAAATATATAAAGACCAATCTTTTATACCAAATGCAGTTTAAGCACATATAAAATTTTGTTCTCCCTCCTGCCGGGCTTGGTTCACATTCGTCTTTCTGGGGCATGGGTGATAAAAAAAATTTTGTTATCGAATAATTTACAATCCACACTCATAATTTGCTCAAAGTTTATCATATTTTTAAATTATATTTCTAATGGAATTTCCTTCCCATAATAACGGGAGATTTTAGTTCATTGGAATAGAAATTCACATGTGGAAATAATTATTGGATGCAAAAATTAAGTTTCCAAATCGTTAATGAATTCTTCATGTCTACTACCATGCCAAGATCATGTTATAGAAAATATTGTTTAAGATATTTATAAATGCACGTTTTTTGGAAGAGTTTGTGGCTTTTAGTTACTTTGCTTAAGATTAAGTTCTATGTAGATTTAAATTATGTTTCAATTTAATTTAATTTGATTTGATTTCTTTGTTATTCTGATTGATGACTTTGATAGTATTGTAAGCCGGTCCCCGTCTTAGCGATAAGTTTAAATTGTTAAAATAAGAACAAAATAGGGTAAACAATGAAAAGGGACAAAGGTTGTACTCTGAAGGGGCGACCACCAGTTAGGTAAGTACGGTCGGAAATCCGTAGCCATGGGGGACATCGTAAATTGGGGATGCGTCAACCCTGTACTGACCACTGTCTTTGCCGGCCCACCTGCGGCGTGAGAACTCCCCCGACTTTTGAGTTTCCTTTCCACCCCTACTCCGGGAGAGACCCAGTATAAAACCAATGACTGGAAAGTCAAAAGTCAGTCAAGATACACTCACCCCAGGCAGTCAATACCAGGGACTCTCTCAGGAGTCACCTCGGAAGACTTGCCTGAGTCAAAATCCAAGACTCACCCTAGGCAGTCAAAGACCCAGCCGAGACTCACCCCAGGCAGTCAAGACCAAGGACCGGGAGAGAAGCAGTCACACTCCGTCTGGGATTCAACAAGAGGACTCAGCCAGCCAGAGCCAGCAAGGGCCAGCCGGTGCGACCAATCAAGCCAAGTCAGAGGTCGAGAGAAGAGATGCTGTGGACACTGATCATGGCGAGCATCGTTTGGGGTAAGTCCCTTTGTTGATAGACTCATCCCAGATTTAGAGTTGTGGCGGACTTGTAGATTAATTAGATTCTGTGGTTTGGGTACCGTTAAGAAGGAATTGTGTACAATAAATGTTGCTGAATATACTCTCTGGTTTATTGAATTCTGGAACCTTACCTTCCCCTACACAAGAATAAGTAGCGACGCACTTACGCCGACTAATCTCTTGTCGTTTAGAGAAAAGCAAGCGAATATTGAAAGATAATTCGGCCGCCGCGCCGTTGTCCGCTTACAGTATTATTGAATACTTTAATAATTTCTTTGTTAATTGTAGGTTATGATGAAATTTGAATTTGTAGATCATCTTGATTCTTTTCTAAAAATAATAACATTTCCTCATAGTATTTGCCACATTTGCATCTAAATTGCCATTGAAAAATTTGATAAAAACAAAACAACATCTTTTGTATCTTCTATCGCTATTGACAGAACAGAAGTGATAAGTTTTCAAAAATAAAACAAATGAACATGTTTAAAATATTCTACATTTATATTTCTAATTTAATTTCCAATTTCAACAATAATATAAATAGTAATCATTTTATCCATCGAGATGGTTAAGCATTGCCAATTTAAAAATTAAAATGTTAAGAGCAAATAATAATAATAATATACTTATTCAACGTTGTTTCAACAATTGCTACTTAATTAGTAAATAAGCATAATCTTAAATAATAGAATACATTGGAGATAAGTTAACTAGAAGGATACATTATTTGTGTGTCTTATTAGTATTTAGCATTTATTAGCACAACAAAAATTGAAGTAACAATCTATAAAAGTTTAAAAACAAAATAAAAATATCACAATTTAAAATTGCATTTTCAAAAAAACTGTTTTTATCACATTGTTATAGTTGCTGAGAACATAACTATTTCATTTACATTTTTATGTAGTGTAGCAATAAATAACATGTAATATGCTTACAACTCATATTGATGTAAATTAGTATTGTTTAAAGTTTGTTCAGCACTAGCTTGATATGACAAGTGAAAACATTTTATTTTCTTCTCATTTCCAATTTTCTAAATATCACATTTAAACTTTTATAATAAATAACAAAATAAAATATAATCTCTAAACATTCATATTGATTAGGCTGTCATCAGCCATTTTTCCAGTTTCATTCTTCTTTGCCTCTTTGTTCAATGAGGGCCATGCTATTTTCCCTTGCAAATTTTTCATCTCATTATTACAAATGAGCTTGATGTTCCAGGAATTTTCCTAATCAAAAAATAAATAAATAAAACATTCATGTACATAATAATCATATAATAACTGTTTGCATGAAAATATTTAAACAAATGTTTTTGTTATAATTATTGTGTACGTTTTAATACAGGACAAGTTTAACTTCTGTTCACCCTATATTTTTTTATTAGGGTGTTTTTGTGAAAATCTCCAAGAAAACTAGATAAATATAAAAACTAAACTATTTCAAATGGCAAGATTTGTGATGCTAAATTCAATAGTGCAAACGGTTTTTAGTTTGGAACAGCAGTTCTCAAGTTATTCACAACAAACTTTTCTGATCTTTGTTTTTTGTACAAACTAAATCTTCAACTTCTTCAACCAATCACCAGTTTTTTAAAATCATTTTAATTAATAATAAATTACTTGCTTGCGGTACAGAAAGATAAATTTCACAACAATTTAATTACATTGACTTACAGGACGCTTTGGATGTAGGTCATTAAAGTGCGATTCAGCCACACATTAAAAACACACATAACTTGAGAATATTAGTTCCAAATTAAAAATCATTTGCACCATTGAATTTAGTGTAAAAAAAACCTTTTGAAAAATGTTCATTGATGAGAACCCTGCCATTGTAAATAGTATGTACCTATTCATATCCAGTTATCCTGGAGAGTTAAATCGAAATTGTTTGGTTTATGAGAAACTAGTCACAAAATTAAAGTGTACTTGTCTCAGGATTTTTCCGAAATTTTTTTTAAATTTTAATTTTTTTGGGAGGGGGATCAGAAATTAAACTCACCCTGTATATTCACTAGTCAAGAAAGCATCTAATTATTATCTGAATCTGATTATGATAATAGTTTTACTTATTTTATTGCATCTAATTATGAGGATAATTTAGAATGGTTACATGCAGTATAGTACGGTCTAAAAAACTTACAACATTCATGTTACATCTTACAAGATTTTTTCATGATTTAGTACACTATACAAAATTACAATTTTGATATAGTACCTTGTTAATGGGATTCTCGTAACAATGATTTCCTGGGATAAGAGGATTAGTAGATCTTGCCTCTTCAGATTCTTCGTTCAGTCCAAAAGAGGGATTGTGAAAGTGCACAACACTAAAACAATAAACAGTATATTTGCTAATTAAATAGCCACAACCTTGTATCATAATAATAACAAACTAAATATATATNTTTTCAGTAATCGAGATTTGAATTGATTAACTTATCACCATCAAGTTTTAAATTAACTTTTTTAATCTAATGGTATAATTGTTATTGTTTTATATATGCGTATAGTCTCCATTAGTTTTTATGAACATAATTTCTCCATATTGTGTTATATAATTTTTTTAAAATTAATTTTATAAATTATGAATATATACAAACCCAGGAATAGTTTTATTTCCACTTGAGTAACTCTTTACAAATGTAACAATGTAGAAATAGATTAACCAGCTTATTAAACCCCAAAGAGGTACCATGAACAACATCCACCATAGCCATTTGTACGATGTAGAAGGATTTTTTAACAAATTATAATTATTTTTGTGGTTGTCCGATAACAGTTCTTCAAAAATTGTATCCTAAAAACGTTATTTCATATAATAAATCCATTTGATTGTAATTCACAAACACTCTCTTACTGTGTGTGAAGCAGAACAATTTTGACCTGGCTTTACTAGAGATCCATCAGAACAGATGCAAGACGGAATTTTTTTTCTCTGAACACACATGTATGAACAGCTAAGGTGTTCACAATCTTTATCTAAAATAAACAAATGAAAACTTTGTCCATACATGTTTTTTTCTTTATAAAGTTTTGGAACATAAGAATATATTATTTTTCTAAACCTTCAGGAAGAATTTAAATACCGAGTAATCAGAAGAATTCATGGGGGTTTAAAACTGTCACGATTAAAATTAAAAAGTTTGGGTCCTGGGAATTAAAATTAAATTCAGCTCATTTTCCAGCTGTAGGTGATTATCAAACTCTCAATTGTGCAAATGGTTGCCCATTGCTAAGAAAAGGTGAATGTCAGATGGGGCCAGGTCCGGAGAGTACCATGGGTGTGGTAGGACTTTCTAAACTAAACTTCCTTACCACCTACTTTGTCGTTTTGACTGTATGAGGTCTTTAGTTGTCCTGATGAAAAATTATACTTTTTCTGTTTTGATTGTTTCTGGGCCAGGCCAAAAGATACTGCAGTTGGTTTGAGTAGATTTCTGCAGTGATGGTTTGGCCAAGAGCAGGAGTTCATACTGCACAATGCCTGTGGCACTCCACCAAGCACAAAGCATCACCTTTTGTTGGTGAATAATTGGTTTTTGTGTCAATGGGACAAGTCATTTGATGGCAGCCAATGGTACGATCTCCTGTATTGTACACGATCCATTTTTTGCCAAATGTGGCAATTTGGTCAAAAAAGTCTCTACTTTGTGCCTTGAAAGAAATAAAAGCAATGTTTATATGCTGAAATTTGTTACTATTGGGTAATTTATGAGGAACCCATTTCTTAGCATTCACGTCTTCCCAAATCGATGTAAGCTAGAGCGAATGGTTTAATCGTGTATTTTGAACACTGGACTTCTTCTGGATCATTTTTGAGCAGTATGCTTACTTATTGTTTCATCAAACTCAGTGCAAATTTTATGAGCTGCCTCGGCCGCCTTAGTACCGAGCTTAAATTCATACAATAAGCACGAATTATGGATTTTGAAGGCATGAAAAAAATTTATAATTTACAGTAAACATTCAATACACTTTGTCTTTATTATATCTACTCCTACGTAAATAGAAATGTCAACTGAGTTGAATAACAAATGAAAAACCACACAAAGTTTTCTGGTTACCTGATTTGAATCCAGAGCATGTAATGAGGTAAATACAATAATAGGATAACCTAACACCCTATCCGCAATATCCCCAATATTAACAATTTTCACTTTAACAAAAAATTAAAGTTACATATTTGTTCTTGATATAAACATAAGAAGTTTTAAGATGCTTGATCCAGATAGAATAAATGTTTTAAAACTATCACAAATTTAATAATTGCATAAAAAAATCAGATATTAAATATCTGATAATATCTGGGTGTTGGTGTGCAACTCAGTGTACACATGCTGAACTGCATTGGGTCATTAATTAGGTCCGTCTTCACTCGCGGGTTTGTTGAACTACTCAAGCCCACGAGTAAAGGTGGACCCAACGACGGTTCAGCATATCTGATCATGGCGATCCTTATAAAACTGGACCATACAATAATTAACTATAAATATGTTACAGCCGCAATAATTTATTTATTTTTAAGTGAATTTTGGTAAGAATGAAGGCATATGTTGAAAAGATTCAACGGGAAATTATGTAGAGAATTAAGTTGTTAGTTGTGTAAGATAAGTGTACAAAAGGTTAGTCAGACGAATAAATCATCTTATTTAACTCTTTTAAACAATAATTACTGAAAAATCAATATTCATATGGGGCACAATATTGAACACAAAATTACACAACCAGTAACCTGTCAACATCTGAAGTGCAGAGTGAAGAATTCGAAAATGTTGAATTTTGTTGTTAGACGGCAATAATTTAATAGTTTCGCATTCTCGGTAAACTCGGCCAAACAAACCACATTTTGTTATATAGGTATATTCTTGGTGGATTGGTGATGGCATTCTTTTATGCATCTCTGAACATTTTCCATTTAACCAAAAAATGTGATCTTCGAAAACATTCAAATGCAAAGGTTCAGCCTGTTCGGTTAAAAATATAAAAACAATTAAAACATTGTAATTTTTTATGAATTGAATATTATTACCTCAATATTATCAAAGATGATTCGCCGGTTTTTCCCTTCAAAGGACATCTTTTCGACTTTCTTCCCGATGGAATCGGTCCAGTACATGACATGATTGATACTATCTAAGACGATATCTCCAACTTTCTTGATCCCTTGGTCAGTTAGTACTTTTACATCCTTACCAGCAAGATCTGATTTTTTAAGTGCACTCTTAGCATCTAATACCATCAATGAGTGAGATTCACTCCAAAATATTGACCTGCATTTATATATATTTAGTTTGTGTTATACCCATACAATTAAACTTATAGCTTGTTTTTTTTTTTTTTTTTTTTTTTTTTTTGGGGGGGGGGGGTAAAAAACAGTACCTGTCTTTTGAATCAATTCTAAGCGCATCAATTGTCACATCTGATTTGGCAGAGTATATCTTTGCGCAAGTTTCCTTTGCAAAATTGCATGCATGAATCGAATTTTTATTATTCACAAAATACACATTTCCTGTTGACCAATCATAAGAAACTTTTGTTGGTTTGAGTACGTTTTTCACTTGATACATCTTTCTGTTCTCAAGGTTCACTTTTATTAAAGTATTGCTATATTCTAGAACAAAAAAAATTAAATTTATTTACAAGCAAATGCTTTTATAATCAGAAGTAGATTTAAAATATATCTTACCAGAAGATAAATATGCCACACGTGATCTCATATCTAAATCAAATCCAGTAATGTCCTTTATTTCAAAATCCAATTTTACTAAATCAATATTATTAGAGGTGCGACAACGGATCTCTTTATTTGATGTAAATGCAAATGCCATTTCTGGGCCTAAACATTAAATATGTCAATTGTAAGAAAAAAAGATGTACTGATGTAAAAATTTAATTGGTACATTAATTTTCATGACACTCATTTTTCTGAAATATACTTTGGTAAACATAGATAATTTATTAACTTTTAGTATGTTCATAATGTATTTATACAAGTTTAATGTAACATTATTGTAGTAGTAATAATAATAAATAATAATACCAAGTGCTTTGCAGCTTATTTTGTCGCTTCTTAATTTGTACTGTGATGATTCACAGTAACATTTAAATGAACCAACTGTGTTGTTGCAGTACTGAGAACAAGCGTTTAACGAAACGCATTCATTGATGTCCACACAATTAATGCCATTTCCATCTAGTCTGAATCCAGAAGGACAAAAACATTTGTGGCCATTTGGCATTTTCTGACATTTATGGCTGCATCTGGAGTTAATACAACTCGTATCTTTAACAGACAAAAAAGGAAAAGTTTTTCAAGTTTATGATCTCTCATAAAATACATTGTCTTAAGCAATAAGATGACTTTTTTTTGTAAAAATAATTATTTTGCATTACTACAAAACTGGTTGATTGCTATATATTCTACGAAATTTAGTTGTTACAGATCATTTTGATCTGCTCGTCCTCACTGGGTTTGTCTGTCAGTCATGTTTCAACATGTTATCGCGATGAAATTTGTCAACAGACAAACACACGACAATAAGCAGATCCTAATAATCCATAGCGACCAAATTAGAGGTTCAATACCACACAGACAATTCTGGAGGAATCTCACAATTATTTTACAAAATATAAATTGAAAGTGTTTTCTCTCTTATTAATGTTCACATAATATAATTACAACAAAAAATCTTTATGGCTTAACAAGAAATATGTGAACACATATTTTAAAAATAAAAAAGTGGGTCGAGGGCTGTAATGGTTTGGGCGTTGACACGGCACTCATCACTCTAAGGTAAGTGTCCTGGGTTCGAATCCAGTGGCATTGCATTCGAATCCGACATACTTACGAATGGGCTTTTTTTTCTTTTTTTTTTCTAAATACCGGCACCCACAGGGATCATATATCTCTTAATTGAAATACCCTCATTAAAATAAATAAATTGTTGTAATTATACATGTATACATAATATTTTATTCACTAATTTCGTGGCCCGCTTGACAATTAATACATTACAATTAATTAAGGTTTTTAGTTGAGATGAAAAAAGTCAATGGTACGAGCGGGATTCGAACCCACGATCTTCAGCTAGATACGCCGCAGCTCTACCACGAGCTATCGTGACCTCGATCCACTCGGACATCAACTTCCTATCGCAATCCTATCCTCATAAGGTGGGGTTGAGATAGGAAGTGGGTGTCCGAGTGGGTCGAGGTCACGATAGCTCAAGTGGTAGAGCAGCGGCGTATTAAGCCGAAGATCGTGGGTTCGAATCCCGCTCGTGCCATTGACTTTTTTCATCTCAACTAAAAACCTTAATTAATTGTAATAATATTTTGTGTATTAATATGGGAAAAATGATACAATATTTACCACAAGAGGGTCCTTCATCAGATTTATCCGCACAATCGGTAACATTATCGCAAACTTGATCCCAAGCAAGGCATTCACTAGTTGTGGAACATTGAAAATGATCACACTTCTCTGTAAATATAAGCATGGGCAAATAGTTACTCATAGTTTCAAAGGGTTAGAAAAAATTGGATTTATAATACAAAAAGATTTTTTTTTTTTTGTTGAAAAGTTTAGATTTTATTATGTGAATTGATATAATTGTTGACATTGCTATTAAAATTATAAATATTTGAGGACCTGAAGACAAAATGAAGCTATTGTTCGGCTTCTTTACCTAACCTCTCCTCAACCATCCTTGAAAAAATATCATTGGCTCTTTTGGATATAATTTTTCAACCTTTTCTAGTAACTGAGTGGTAAAAGTACTTTGCCATGTAATTAAACTTTAAATGAAAAAGCTTTGTTTTGGTTATTCAAAAATCATTTTAGAACATCATCGCATCTTTAATTTTTTTCACTTCTAAACCTTCTCAATTTTATTTTGATAAAATCTAATAAATAAATGAATATAATTACTTGAGGTAATTTTAACATGGGTTTCTTGACAATTCATTTCATCAGAATAATCAGCGCAGTCATTTACGCCATCACACACCCAGTCTTTTGGAATGCAATTATTACTTCTTTGACACTTAAATTTATCTATGCAATCACCACAGGAATTCTCATCTTCACCTCTTGGGCATTCAGCAGTTCCATTGCACCTGAAAATATGACAGGTTTTATCAGGACAAAATTATTATAATTATTTCCAATAGAATACTTTGCCGTTTGTGGAAGACAAACTGAAAGGTCTGATTCACAAGCAAATTCAGCATCGGTGCATTTTTTTTCATGTTTTACATTAATGACATGTGTAGAACACGTCCTTTCATCAGACATATCATCACAGTCATCTTCTCCATTGCATTTCAGATCATTATGCACACAGTGACCGTTGTCACATTTGAAGTGGTCATGTGAGCACTCCAAATGTTTGGCTACAATAGATTACAATCGTAAACAATCCAAGTGAAAAAATGCAAATTTTATTTCAACATTAAGTTTAATTAATCAAAAATGTATTAGTGATTAGTTAAAAACGATTTTCTTACCGCAATTCTGATGCTCATCGCTGTGGTCTACACAGTTGACTTCTCCATCACATTCCCATGATTTGGGAATACAAGCGCCATTTCCACATTTAAATTCATTTGCATTGGTACAACTAAAATCTCGGCAATTGCTTTCATCACTTTCATCACTGCAGTCTATGACACCATCACACTGTAAAGCAGCATGTATACACCCCCCTGATGAACACTGGAATTCACCTAGTGGGATAGTAATATCCATAAGTTCATTTTTAATTTCGAATTTAATATAAATGTAACACACACCTTGTTGACAACCTGTGGGCCTGCAGTCAAATTCATCTGAACCATCGCTACAATCAGGTGTATCGTCACAATGTTTATGAATATCAATGCACTGCTTTCCGTTCAAACAATGAAACGTATTCATCAAACACGTAACAGTATGGTTTTCACAATGTTGTTCATCTTCTCCCTCAGGACAATCATTTTTTCTATTGCATTTTACTTCCATTGGTAAACATTTTCCATTTGAACACTTAAATTCATTGTCTCCACACAGTTTAGGTTTTATACAATGCAAACCGTTCTCATCCAAATCCAATTCATCTGGGCAAACACATTGCTAAACAGAGTATACAAATCAAACACAAGCGATGATACATAAAGGTATGTTTTAAATATTTTTTTAAAAGGTATTGTGAAAATAGCTAATTGTCAATAAAATTATAATTTTTTTTAGTGATGGTTCGCAACAGTAGAGGTCACATCGGTCATATCAACCCTTGGGGTGGTTTCAAAGGAACATTTACCTTACAGCGCCATGTCAATACCTAAACCACTGTGGCCACCGACGCCCCAAATAAGATTATTACAGTGTAAGAGATTTTTGTTTTGGATGAACAAATTATTAAAAAAAAAAAATGTAAAATTTTAAAGTATCAAAAGAAACTGTTTCCTATACACAAACGTAAATTTTAAAAAACTTGTTACTGTTGTGGTAACAATTTATAAAAGTACCATGTTTCCACTGTCCTAAGTCAAAAAATACTATCCATTATCCTTAGTCAAACAATTTTTTAAAATGTATATTTACAATAGTAATTTTAAAAAATAAATAAAATTAAATTGTAAAATATAAAGTCCTGAACCTTTCTATTTATCAGAGGAATGCAAATATGGCTGCATTGCGCATCAACAGAATGACATTCGTTATTTAAACTTGTATGTGGCATACTAATTTTAGCTATTTTCAACTCGGTATTATTATTCATTGATCCTAAAAATATAAAATATATTATTAGTCTGAAAACAGTTTTCTAAAATACATTAAAATTGTAAAATTTATGATCACTAGGGACTGGATTTATACATATCGACATATTTTTTTCTGAACCTCTACACCATTTTTGAAACTTTTATTTCATGTTTCATGCTATTTAGAAGCAAATAAACCATATTTTATTTTTACATATTTGTAAATATTTGATAGGTATTACATATAATACAATTAATTAAGGTTTTTAGTTGAGGTAAAAATTAATTGTAATATATTAATTGGTCAAGCGGACCACGAAATTAGTGAATTTAATTATATATAATTACATAATTTACCTTAATTTATATATTTTAGCTGATATTTAATAAAATAAACAACAAAATTATTTAAATCTTTTTAAAATGGCCAAAAAATGTAAGAAAGTTTTAGAGAATTAGTGATTTCAAGAAGTGAACAAAAAAATTTGAGAAACGTGAATTTTCAGATGCAGATTCTTTGATATCAAACATAAAAAAGGATTTCTTTAAAGTGCCGAGTAGAAGAGGGTTTTAAAGGATTCCAGATTTATCACTTCCACCACAATCTCTTGGAACGAAGATAGAAGCCACAGTATACTATGGTGAAAATTTTTCAAAAATTAGAGGAAAATGCTGTAGCCATAGAAAAGGCAAAGGAAATTATGGAAATACATAAAACCCCGCAAAATTCAGCCTTCATTCCATCCAATATTTCATTTTTGGAACGATTATGCAGCTGGAAACCCAGTGCGTCTCACTATAAGACAAATGTCTTACAAAATTTGGAAAATATTGGTGGAATTGCGAGGGTAAAGAGAAAGAAAAACTTTTGGCCATGCATTTTTATTTATGAAATTTTAAAAACGTTGGTTGTTTAAATTTATTATTTTATTTCACATATAAATCCGGTCCCTAATGATCACATAAAAAATATCCTTACTAAGAGATATGTCACTGCCTAATAAATCATCATGATGGTTCGCCCAATGTAACTTATTTGACTTAACATTAACCCAAAACAAGGTGTCCTCCATTACAGCAATATCACTCAATGCTGTCTCGGGTGCTATGAGTTTTTCTCTATTAGAACCTAAATCACATACAGATTAATGTGTGTGTGTATATATATATAGTATTGTTTACTAACAATTAATTTATAGTTTTATACTATTTTTAAATATGTAGCAGTATTTTATGTGTAAACAATACTGTTTATTGACTATTTTGATTAAATAAAGTGAAACGCCACTTTCAAAAATAAATAGAAAGATTATATTTAAATTAATTTAAATTTTATATAATATAATTTACCATTTAATGTAATAAAGATAATATTTGTTCAAAACCATTACCAGTTTTGTCAATTGAGTATATAGCACCATTTCCATAATCTGACCAGAGTAGTTTATCTAGCTGATGATCGAAAGCTAATGCTATTCGTGGTCCAACAAAATTCTTTTCAGCTAAATGTATTCTCGTTTTTTTGTCTCCATCCATAGAAAATCTGTCTATGTGAATGTGATTACCATACATAAGAGCAACAAATAAATATCTACAAAAAATGTCCAATTAATACCAAATTAATAAATAAGTATTAAATTGATTGATTGATTGATGTATATAAGCTCAATTTTGCCTATATGTGAATATGCACATATATACAGAATTATATTATGATGAAGCGAGAATCACCTACTTTCGTCTTGGCAGACCAGGGTCCGAAATTAGGCTTCAGGGGCTATGAAAGGCTAGATCATTACAACCCTCAACATATACAGTCTTTTAAGCTAGATACACTCATAGTCGCCCTCATTCTTAAATATATTCTTTCCTATTTACATAGGATGCATATTATATAACTAACCTAATTGAGGGTCGATTCAATATTCCACCATTGGTCCTCTCATACTATACATTCACATTACTAAGTACATTCATTCTCAATAAACATAAAAGGAGGAAGTACATATTGAGATATCGATCAGTACTATATAAAATAAAACAGTTTTAAAATCGCTTAAACAAAATTATCATATCAGATGACATTCCTACTAACTCTCTATTTGGAGCCAAGAAATTATACAATTCAATTATTTAAGCACATCATGCGATCTTTCTCTACGTGATGGATATATAGTGTTTGTATGTCTACCTAGTTTGGCCTATTAGTCAGGTGAGTTTGATCCCTCTACTACAATTCAGATCTAGCAAGGGCACATCTATCAGTGGTGTTCTTGATACATGGGAGCTTCTCTGCCGATCCAACCCACTGATGCTGTCATTTCATTTTTTATGAGAGGATACTACCCCATATCCTAAAAATTTGCTTGCTACAGGAAGTATAAGAAAGTATTTCTGGAAGGCTACAATGCCGGTGAATCTGTGGACAGGAGTCATCCATATACTACTACCAATGGAGTAGGTGGGCCAAATGGCACTTCAATCTTCTTCATTTCTTCAATTCTTCAATCATAAGAAGGACTGATGCAGGAATTTCATCCGTTCGGATTGTGCTACTTGTGATTCAGCAGCCAAGAGAAAAAGAATTAGAGTGAATAAAGAAGCAATGAGCGCTGAAGAAATAATTGTACAGCAAAGGCAATTTGCAAAGTACTGGGTAATGAGTGAAAAAGAAGGAAACTTTAAGAATGAATCACCTGTAAAATTATTTTGACATATCACTACAACAACAAAAGGTAGTGAATGTTAAAAAGACAGTAGCAAGCACTCTAATGATTGAAATTGATGATGCTTTACACGCCGAGTTGCTTAAGAAAACTATAAACCTTGCAATTATCCCAGTCAATACAACCTACCTAAAAAAGCTGAACACATCCCAGGGAGTCATCTAGGCGTAAGATCTGCTGGTGTCCTAAAGAGGAAATTAAAGATGAGTACAACGAATAAAACAAAAAACTGAAACATACACTACTGAAAGAAGTAAAAGCAATTTCTCAATGATTCCCTATTCACCCATATACTTTAAATGTCTGTTCTTTGGGTGTATAAATTCATGTGACTATTTAGTATATGAGAGGCAACCGTGTCGAGATCCACCAATATGTGTCAATTAAAGAAGAATATGAAGAATAAAGTGAAAAACTGAAAGAAAAATAGTTAGGTAATTGGGGCCCTACCAGGCAAGGCACAGTGGTATGTCCTATTCACCAGAAGAGAGAGGAATATAAAAAAATAGATTAGAAAAAAAGATGCCTGTAGAAGCAAGAATATTCCCGAGAATCCCAGGAAATAAAAGCTTTGCGAAGGTTGTCGCACAAACATTTCTGGAGATCTCCACTCAAACTGAGGAGACGCTGATATTTCAGTTTCAGGGTGCTACCATTATTTTGGGCACCTTTGGGCTGCAGAACAGTGGTGACCCTTTGAGGGAGAGCAACAAACAGCTCTCCGCACCTTTTAAAATCCTGGGGACACCTGATTCCGCAAGTTTAATTAGTTTTTAGCAAAGGAGGTCCTCACCCATTGAAAGAAGTGGCTCAGTCCCAGAAGGTGCCCCCTATGCAGTGCAACTATGACAGTGAAATATATTTTAGAAGAGTGTGAACAATTAGCACTGAATAGATTTGGTGTGGCGTGTCTAACGATATATTGACAATATTAAAACCCAACAGTAATCTTAAAGATAAAATTCTTGAACATCTAAAATCAATAATCACAAGCATATGGTTATGTATAACCCGTTACATGTGGCTTTTATATCTTTTCTTTGTATGAGTGTATTTATTTGCATGCATGGTTAAGTGTGAACAGAATGGCCTGTGGCAGGACATAGAGTACCTCGCAAACCTGTCAAACTAGTTAGGTTAATTAGTGTAATGCATAGATTTGAAACATTCAAATATCCCAGTGCCTCCCCATTTTTAATTGTAAATACTGTTTGAAAGGCTTATCTGTAAGAATGCATTTATTTTCATGAGTGGTTAAGTATGGATGGACGGATCTGTGGCAGAATATAGTGTACCCAAGGTCCAGTCAAACTAGTTAGGTTAGGTTTATAGTAGGTTTTTGTTACTCTCTCACTCTCACTCTCTCTCTCTCTCTCTCTCNCTCTCTCTCTCTCTCTCTCTCTCTCTCTCTCTCTCTCTCTCTCTCTCTCTCTCTCTCTCTCTCTCTCTCTCTCTCTCTCTCTCTCTCTCTCTCTCTCTCTCTCTCTCTCTCTCTCTCTCTCTCTCTCTCTCTCTCTCTCTCTCTCTCTCTCTCTCTCTCTCTCTGTATGGATTAAATTAGGGCCTTCATTGTGTGTGAGAGGAGACGTCTATTAAGGAAGATGCTATATGTTAGATGTGTCTCATATAAGAAGAAGGTAAATTGCTTTTGAAGGGGCTACTGAGCTGTAACTATAGATATGTAAGAAAAAAGAAAAAAGTGTGGTACCTGTCATTCAAATCCAAAACTAAATCTAGCAGAACGTCATTCCCTAAATCCTGAATCAATTTAACATTAAGGAGTGTTTGCATATTGAGCAGTTGAATTGATTTTGTAAACGCATCCACCCAATACAAATTATTTCCGAGCGGGTCATAATCAATGCTGACAATCTTGGCATTTTTGGAGTGATGAAGCTGTTTAACTTGCATTGTGATAGGGTTGAATGCAATAATTGATCCTTCATTTAAATCACTAAGAATGATGTCACCTAAAATTTAAATATTTTTAGTACTCAAAACATTAATTCATGCAAATAAAAAGTCTTAGAAGAGAATAGATTCAAAACCCAACTTAAAAATGAATTAATCAGAAGATAAAACACAATAAACATATTTCTCTCAGCATAATTTATATGTACAAACAAACAGAAATATCATTAGTAAATATAAATGGTATAAATTAAATTGTGCATGTCTAAGATTATGTGGAAATATATTTATAAATTACACTTTATAAGCAAATAAGAAGAAAAAATAAGCTGCATGCTAGAAACATTTAAAAAAAACTTAGCAGTTTGTTATTTTTTTAATAATACCTGAATGAGAATCATAGGAAACGGCACCAAGAGATGTAACCACAGTATGAGTGATATGATCGAATTCAATTCTACCAAATGAATGGTAATTTATTATGTTTATAGCAGCATTAGATGCAACAATTAGTTGTTCCTTTTTGTTAAAAGATTTGCATGTATGCTTGTTTTCTGTTAAAAACATATCCGTAGGGCAAGCACAAGTGTATGTTATATCACTTGAATTATGAAGTGAAAGAAGACACAAATGGCTGCAGGAAGCATATTTACACGGGTTTTTCTGAAATAAATTTTATTATTCATGCTATTATGTAATTATGCTAGTATTTAAAAAATATGGAAAAATGTAAGATTCCAAACTGTATTATATAAAAATGTATATAAATATAATGTAACAAATACATAACTGGTAGAAAAGACTAGCACAAAAGGCAAAAATGTGTAATTATATGACTGGACAAACATCAAAAATACAGTAGAATCTCATTATCCACGGGGGATATATACCAAGCATCATCGCATATAACAAGAACTGTGGATAATAGGAAACACCTCGAATATCAGGCTTCAAAGCATTTTCTTCTACCTGCATATCAATCAGACACTTTCTATATTTCATGTGCCTATCGTCAATATGAACTTAAGTACACATATTTTAGATTTTTTTCAATAAAAAATACAATGTACGATGTTTGTTCCACACAAAAAAACAATATGTGCAGACATTTAACTAGGGTGGCAAGCGCAGGTGAGTGAAAGCATGGATAGCAAGAGTCTGCTGTTTATTTATAAATCAACATTTTTGTCAACCCTTTAACTTTTAAAGTAATAAGTAATAAACAATTTATCACTACTATTACACCCACATGTGCACATGCGCTTATGGGTTCATAATTTAATATTTCATTTCCAAGACACAAAAATTAATTTCAACTGAAACAGTGACATTAGTAATAAACCAAAGCTTTCAAACTTACTATTTGTTTGAACAACACCGGATGGTAAATGTGTATACCAAACATTTTCTCATGTGTCCTCTTAATTATTCTATAACCTCTTCCATTAAATTTATTGCATGATATCAACTCATTTGTTTTTACATCAGTCCAGTAAAGTCTATTTTCAAAGACGTCCAAAGAAAATATCGAACCAATAGTTTTAGATAAAGATAGTCTCTAAAGGGCGAAAATCGTGCTTTAGTATTCATAAAAAAATGTAATGAATGTACATTATTATGTATATTTACAATTCTGTTGGATCCATCAAGGTTTATGCTTTCAATGGCAGTTAATTTAGCGTCAGACCAATACAACCTATTGTTTGGAATGTCCAAAGCAAGGGCATTTGGCCAGATGTCTTTTGCTACAATATTTTCTTTATTATTTCCATCCATTCCTGCCTTTACGATACATGGTAAATGTACATCCAAAGATGAAAAAAATAACATCCTGCAATTATTTCACAATTAATTTTTAAGTTTAAAATTACTTTACACTAAAAAGCTCTCAATCAATGCAAAAGTGGAAAATCCATTCTTTTGTCAGAATATTCTTTCATTAACCTCATAAATGAAGATGATGAAAAGGGAGCGGATTTTTATGTATTAAAAAAGTGAAAATATGTACTTAAATATCTCATTATTTTTGATACAATATGTAATGCAAAATATAAAACAGGAAAAGATTTAAAAAATAATAATAAAGTTAGTCTGATTTAAACAATTTTAAAATAAAAACAAATCAAATTTTTTAAAATTATCGGGAATGACAAGATATTTTAAATTTTCGAAATTGAAACAGCGATGATCAGGTCTCAAAATGGATTTGTATCTGCTAAAGGAGCGCTCCATATTTGCTGATGTTATTGGAGAGGATTTGAAACTTAAAATTTCATTTTGGTTTAAATTCATTTTTGGTCTGAAGTTTCTTTATGGTTCTCTTTTAAGATGTCAAAGACGTAGAAACAAAAAATGGATGATTTTACTTTTGTATTGTAATGCCATACTTTCATTCAAATCGCAAATTAGAATTGTTGAAGATTCCATAATTTAGTAAAGCATGCAATAAATATGAAGAAAATGTATAAACAAATTAATTTAGTACTAAATATGTGAAAATATGTAACATTAACATGTTTTTAATTGCATCCAAATGTCACAAAATGTAAATAACGAGTTGTGATATGCCAATGATTATATTTTTATAAAATATGTAAACATAAAAGTACACTCCCTAATGATGAAGACAGTTGATTGTGCCAAATTTGCTATATTGTAAATTGACAGGAATATTAATAATAAAAGCTTACTTTTTTTTAAAGTTAATTATTACTGATTACTGATTTATATAAGCCCAAATCTGCATTCGTATGCCCAGAGTTGAGTCTATCACTTCTCGCAGTCCACTGGCAATTCCAGCTTTTGTAATTTATGATTATTCGGAGTTCGTGAGATGCGGTCTGGTATGACGTAGGTTTTAGAAAAACATATTCTTTATCGTGCCAACATTTTGATCTCTATTGAGGTCCTGGGAATTATAAAATTGCTTAAATTTTACAAATACATGTAGGAGATGAGAAAAAAATTGAATTTATACAATGCTACAAAATTTTAGATTTAAACAAAAAAAATGAATTTATACAATGCTAGAAAATTTTATATAAAAAAATGAGTTTATACAACGCTAGAAAATTTTAGATTCAATCAAAGTATTTGTACTCACTCAAAGTGTTTATTTTCCCTGTAGATGTGTCATTCTTGTATATCTTTTTTTTCTCTTTTTAATCTAAAATTTTCTAGCATTGTATAAATTCAATTTTTTTGTCACACCAGACTGCATCTCACGATCTCCGAATAATCATTGACTAACGATCACTAAACACCACACGTTTGTAATTTATAATAAATTACTGGCAGGCCTCGAGAATAACTTACACTGGGGACAGACCTCGGTCTGGTTCATCCAGCCTCCGAGGGTGAGTTCCAGGTGTTGTCAACAACTATGTCAATTCAGAACCCCATGTATGCAGTTCCTAAATCCATTCACACGCTCACTCGCTTTTAAATACTTTTCTATTTACATACCATTTACCATCAGGGTAGTGATATCACTGATCGATATTCCTCTATCACCCTTTACACGTATTATATATCTAAACCTAACTGAGTGTCCTTGGGGTACTCAGTATTCCACTATCGACCCTGCACACTACACATTCATGCCAATAAATACATTCACTCGCAACACACTCTTGGGACACAAAACTACCAATATTATACATAATAAAATGACCCTTTCCTCCAAAAATCATAAGCATAATTCTCATATCAGGTAGCATTATTATACACTCTCTATATGGAAACAAGGAATTGCACTCTTCAACTAGGTGGATCGCTCGATCAATCTTTCCCTACATGCCGGTCACATACATGGGCTTTGGCCCAAAAGTAAGTGTCCATGTGTCAATCTCGCAAAACCTATTCTCAATCGAGTTTAATTAATAATTAGTTATTTTAATTAGTTGTTTGCAAATATTACATACCCTTTATTAGAATGCAACACCAAAGAAAAAACGTTGGTTACGTTGCTAATTATAGGTAAACAATTGATACCGTCGTTAGAACAAACACCAATATGTTTTTTACCAGAATCGGAGAAATATATATTTCTAGTAATCCAATCAACAGATAAATCTTCGATCATTAACAATCCTAAAATCAAATTGTTATAATGTAAATTTATAGGTTTATAGACTAGAATTAACAGATATATTGACACAAAATAACATCGATTATCTGAACAAATTTTACCTGATGTTACCACAACTTCTTTTTCAAGGCCAAATTCGTTCGAACGTATTATAGATGAATGGCCATTACTTTTCATAGAACTCCAGTACAAAGAATGTCCATCATACGCAACAGCTGCACTTTTCCCATCAAATTCTACCATTTCAGAAAAATGCTCATTTCTAAGATAATAGGCCTGAATTGAATTCTCATTTGAATAGACCATTAAAGGATGAGTATCATCTGTAATGCAAATATGTTTTTTATCAGAAAATTCAAATTAATTGTACATTATCAAACAAATCTTTTACTCAACCAGATTAAAATTATATATTTTAGTTTTATTGTGTGCATGTTTAGTTTCAACTAATGCTTAATCTAAAGTATATGCTGAAACTGACATCACATAGTGGGTCCATCTTTGCTCGCGAGTTTGTTGAACTACTCAAATGAGTTTCTCACTGAAGATGGCACAATGCCAAAACGCGTTTGAGTAGTTCAACAAACCTGCAAGTGAAGACAAACCCTTTAAGTGACCCAGTGCTGGTTCAACATGAGTTCACAGACTCATAGACCAATACCCAGCATCAACAGCATTGAACATTATTCAACTCATCCCACTTTGTTCTACTTCCATCCCTATTTTTCACACAATAAAATTCAACAACAAAATATACGGTTGTGTAGATGTTTCATTTCATGTAATTTACCTTCTGCAATGCATATATCACCATGTTTATTTGAATATCCTTCATGGCAGAGGCACTGAAATGAGCCTTCTGTATTATGGCATATTTGGTCGCACTGTGCATAATTTTCACATTCGTCAATATCTGAAAAGAAAAATTTTCTATATGACTTGGCACTTATCACTTAGTGCAAAAATTTTAATGCTAAAAAAGATAATTAAAACCAATTTTCTTAACCTATGCATTTGTCACCACTGTATTTCATTCCTATGGGACACACACATTTACAGCCAAGTGGGGTGTTAAATACATCGTGAGAACAGTTATAATTGTGACATGAATCTGAAAGTTTAAATTAAAATTCAGTACAAAATTCAAAGTAATAGTAGCCACAATGTCAAAATTAGTTCAGTACATAAAGTAGTTCTTAGGTATTACCATTAGAACAAAGTTGTTTTTCATCGGAACCATCAAGACAATCAAATTTGGAATCACACACTTTACTTTGTGGTAAACATCTTGATTTATCTTTACAAAGAAACAAGTGGTGTTCAAGCAAACAATTGGAAACATGTCTGCTCCATGGTGCTGAAATTATTATATTATTGTTATTGTTAGTTACAATAAGTAAATTTAGCAATTCATAGAATAACCTAAAATTTCTGATACTGTGTTCTTACAAGGTCATGGGTGAATATGGAGTGAACTGTTTCACTAGAGAGTGAATATGGAGCATTAAGTATTATTCTTGGGATTTTGAATTGGAGAGACCAAGTACAGGATTAATTGGAAGTTTGGTTGAGCCCCAAACTTCCACTCCATAGATATATAGCAGATGAATGAGAGTTTTGTAAAGGGTAAGTTTGTAGTTAAGGTTTAGGTGAGGACGAGTAATCTCTGCAAGAGTTTGTAACAGCGATTCATGTCTTGCTATTTCACGCAAGTGTGTGGATTCCACTCCCAGGTATCATACTAAGTCAGCAGTCAGTATGAGTATGCTTTTGTTCACTTTGATCTCCATTCGCAGTACCAGTCTTCCAATAGGATGAGGTGACTCTGCAGATAGGAGCTTACAACTGATGGATTCGAGTGAGAAGAGAAGAGAACCATTTCATTGGAAAACATGATTATGACTGTGTATGGGGAAGTAAGAATGTCAGCAGTGCGTATTTTGAAAAAGATCAGGCCAAAGATACTTCCTTGGGGATACTCCAGACTTCCGGAAAGGGATGTTCCTTACATGGCAATGGTAGGATTGGAGAATAACTGGCTTAAAATTGTATTTAAATAGTTACACAATCAAAGATTGCAAGAATGTAATTATAACTATAATTATAATATTGTGTGAAGGGTAGTTATTTCACATAAATGTTTAAAGTAAAGAATAGAAAAAAAAGATCTGTTTTTCTATGAATGATTTGGGTATAAATATATAAATTTTTCTTGTTTCTCTTTTATGTGTGTTTGTTATGTGTGCTATTTATTTTCTCCACAATATATATACACACACAAACAACAATGACTGAAATCTCAGAGAGCAACAGTCCATTTATTTTCCAGAATGAATAGAAAACAAAAATGCAAGTAATTTATTAACGTGAATGGCACAGAGTTGATCCCCAATTACTCCAAGGAATATAAAGTACTGGGGGAGTAGTGTGAAGGAAGTCTGGTACATGAATGTAATTTATTAGCATGAATGGAGGGCCATATCCCCAATATCGGGGTAGTAGTACTCTGGGGTAGTGTGATGTGTCAAGTTTTTTCTTGTTTCTCTTTTATGTGTGTATGTGTTTGTTATATGTGCTATTTAATTTCTCCACAATTGATGAGGCCCTGAGGCACAGAGAGAGTAGCAATAAGTTAAAGAAAGGAGGGAGTTGGTTACCGTTATATCATAGAACAATATAACTTGGCTGGAGAATCAATAAAAGAAATTAATAGGTTTAAAATGTGAGAAAGATAAGTAAACAAAGCTAAGAAAGAGAGGGGCTGGTGACCAATGTAGTTTGACAGCCCTCAAACTAAAAAAAAAATTTTTAAAAAATGATTATGCTAAAATATGTAATCTTACGGCAATAATCTTCATCACTTTCATCCATACAGTCAACAGTCCCATCACATTTCAAATCGAATTCAATACATTCACCAGATTTACATTGGAACTCTGAACACTGAAACAATTTTGATTTAGTGTTATTTTACACTTTTATCTGTGAGCTTTCTTAACTTACTTTCCCACTACAATTATTTTCATCACTAAAATCTAGACAATCCATTACTTCGTCACAAAAGTGTTTAGCAGGAATACAATTTACTTTGTCTGCACATGGAAGTTCATCTGGTTTGCACGTAACAGGATGTGACTAAAGCAAAGATATAAAACATAGAAGAAAGCAAATTAAATCAAATTGTAAATTTAGAAACTAAATATATATTTTAATTAGACAGTACATGAAAAATTATGTTACATTTGAAATACAAAAAAATAATTTAGGTCATAAATAAAATACAATGAAAATGGCACTTAGCTCTAGGAAGCATTGAATGAAAATCACTAGATAAAAAATTAATATAAACAAGTAAATAATAATAAAGACAATTACATGTATTTTTAAAAAGCGGCGTATGAAAACAAGGATTTGAGCACTTCATGTGCTATGTAGGAAGGCACATTCACTGGATAGGAATACAGACAGAAGAAACCCTGTGCAGATACTGCCAGGAAGAAATAGAGACCGCAGAACACAGTTTACGTTTATGTGAAAGTTATGTATATGTACATGCTGATTCTTTCAGCTAGGAGAGGAAAAGCCAAAAGCAAGATCCTACACTAAGAAGCCACTGGGCAAGGCTAGGAGGTTGATTAAAAACCTGAATCTGGCCAGTGACTTATAAAAAACAATGAGCACAATAGACATGGGCTGGGCCAGATGAGTAATGCACTGATTTCACACTGAAGCGAAGCAAATTATCAACTAATATTTTTTTTTTTTTTTTTTTTAAAGGAAAGTTGTTTTTATCTTGTCAATAGTAATACATTTCTTATTTCTACCTAGAATTATAGAACCAATCGACTCAGTATGATCAATTCTATAGGAAACAAGTATAAATATGACAAATGTTTTTAAAAACTATATATATAAAATAAATAAACCTTTGCAAATATACGTTTTCTCGTACTAGCAACATATGTTCACTTCATCTTTAGTGTGAAACTGCACTAATGATTCAGCCAATCCAAGAAAATAAACGCATAATAACACCATGATATTGCATTGATTTTGTAATAACAGTTTTTAAACACCCTTCAATAAAACATATCTTACCAAATTGTGATGACAATTTTCTTCATCTGAGTGATCATGATCTCCACAATCAAACTCTCCATTACACAATGATGCAAGAGAAATACAGTTTTTAGAAATATTGCACATATGCATACCATGACAGTCTTCATGATCTATCACAAAAAAAAAATCATCAGCATTTATTATATACTAATTAAAACATACACCATTAGAATAATACCGAAAAGGTGATCACAACTTTCTTCATCTGAATTATCACCGACACCACAGTCAAAATCATGATCACAATGAAAACTTTTAGGAATGCAGACATGATTCTTGGCACATTTAAAATGAGTATCCAAATTACACTCTTCTAAAATAAATAACATTTGAAAAAATTAAAATATACCAATGTAATAAATAAGCGTTGTAGGTTTATTGCAATATAGGTGATTTATTGAACTAATCCAACCATTAGATTTTTATTTATAGTTATTTAGTTCAGGGCTCAGCTACCAGCCCGCCTCTGATTCCAGGACTGCAGGAGTAAGGTTTATTATTATTATTATTATTGTTATGAATATACAAAAATATACATAAAAACTAACTAAGCAAATTAATATCAACATTATCAAAACAATTGCATTCTCATAACCTATTGGGGTCCACAAAAGATGTCTAGATATTAAAACTAAAATTGTCAAATTCATTTATCCATAGTGTAAAAATGTCCTAATCAATTAGAGATGATAAAGGTGGAATGAATATATTGTTTAATCATTTAAAATAGATAGTTTCTACCCATAGAGAGTAGGCACTATATTAAAAAAACCTCTTACTTACGGACATTATGACAATTTTCTTCATCTGAATTATCACCAGCACCACAGTCACTTACACCATCACATACACTACTTTTACTAATACAAAATTTGTTTATTTTACATTTATGTTCAGTGTTCCCAGCACAATCTAAATCAAACCACACAAAAAGAGTATAGGGACCAACATTTATCAAACGTAGTTATCAAAATAGGCAGAGAGTAATTGTCTTCAAGCTCAAATATTGCAAACTGTTTTCATCAAACAAAAATCATAAACTGTTGTCATTAAACCTAATTGTATTCAGCAATATTTTCTTTTCACAAAAGATTTCTCGATCAATAAAGCAAAATTTGCTAAATTTATATAACCTTAACAAGAAAATTCTTCTAACCTTCTCAATTAAAGGATATTCTTATGAAATTACGGAAATTATGACAATTTTCTTTATCTGAACTACCACCAGCACCATAAAATAGCTAGAAAGTAATTGTCTACATATTCAAATATTGCAAACTGTTATCAACAAAAAAACAATCATAAACATTCACAGAGTTGTGTCTAAACCTTCGAACAGTCAACATCATATTGTTTTCTCTTCCACAAAGGATTAACTCAACTATCTAATCTACATCTATTTTTCTGTCAGGGAGTACCCGTTTCTATTTTATTTTTTATCTTTCTTTCTCTTTTTCTTCCTTCTCCTTTCGTAGTATCCCTTTTGTTCATTATATTTTATATACTCTAAAGCTAAATTTTACTTCATAAAGCTGCCCATGCCTGAAATGGATTTATCACTCACCGCTAAACCACCTGACCCTACTTCTAAATTAAAAATAACAGGAAAATGGTGCAGGAAATTTCTAGTTATGTCACTGGAGTCGGAACGAGGATGTTCCTTTAATAATTTCAGTCCTTTTAAAGTCTGTAGATTTAAAGAGTTATGCTCCAAAAGTCTCCATGAAATTTCTCCGAAATGGATCTATCCTCCTTGATATTAACAATGAAAATGATTACCTAAACCTACAAACCATCAAAACATATGAAAATTCGAACATAATTTTTACTCTCCATCGATCTCTAAATTTCTCAAAAGGTGGCGTGTTCGTTCCTGAACTGGTAAACTGTTCTGAGACAGAGATTCAAACTGAACTAGAATCCCAAGGCGTGGTAAAAGTCGAAAGACTGAAGAAAAGCGTGAATGGACACTCTGCCCCCAACCCAATTTTATTTCCCACCTTTCAAAGACCTGATATTCCAGAAAAAGTAAATCTCGATTTTCTACAAATCAAAGTACGCCCCTTCACACCTAATCCAATGCAATGCTACTCCTGCTATAGATATCGACACATTAGCAAATACTGCAAGACGAAAAACTGTGGTGAAATGAGTCACGAAACATCTAGTTGCCCAAACCCACCACATTGCATAAACTGCTCTGGTTCTCATCCTGCCTTCACTAGACAGTGCCCGGTATATATTGCTGAAAAAAAAATAGAAAGTATAAGAAAAGGCGAAAAAGTGTCTTTCAAACAAGCTGAAACTCTGTACAAACAGCGTATTTCTCCACAGGAAAGATTAAATATGCCACTTTATTCTCAAGTAGCCTCAGCCTCCATACCAAATCCACCAGTGTCACCCCATCACACTAGCACTCCTCCATCTTCCACCAATCCTTTAACCTCTCTGCCCTCACCTACCCATTCCTCAACCCTCACCTCACAAAATCATAAAATTGAGTCCCTTACAGAAGAGATAGCCAAGCTTACAAAACTTGTTCATTTCCTTGCAGGAAAGTGCCTCACATTCCCACCATCACAAATTCAACCTACTCCCCCACAAAATGAACTCATGATATCTATCCCTCCAGTTCAAATACACCATTTACTTGTTTCCCCTCCCAAAATACAACTCTTCCTGTCTCCAACAGTAATAAAAACATCACAAAAACAATGCCCACACTCACAAATAAATCCAAATCATCTCTAAACTTAGACAAAATAAGCTCCAAACGCCCTTTTTCACAAGGCTCAAACTCCTCCAGTACCTCTCCCAAAGCCAAAGTCAAAACACCTAAAACTGAAACAAACAAACGCTTTCCGTAACTAAGTTAACTAAGTTTAACCCTGTATATCAAAATCCCCCTTCTCTAATTATAATTAACCACTATGAACTTTATTCAATGGAATATAAATGGTATAAATTTTCACCGTAACGACCTACAACTCTTAATCAATAAATTCGACCCATATGTTGCTAGTATTCAAGAAACTCACCTAAAAGTCAGTGATAATTTTACAATACGTAACTATCAAATAGCTCGAAAAGATTGTACCTCAGGTCAAATTGCCTGTGGTGGTGTTTGCCTTTTAATTAAAAACTCCCTTGTCCAACAAACCTTGTCTTTGTCCACCCCCTTCAAGTCGTTGCAGCTAGAATTCTATCCCCAAAACCCTTCACTATATGCTCCATCTACATCCCCCCACACCATAAGCTTACAATTGATGAAATGGAAAATCTCTTACACCAACTCCCCTCACCAGTATATTTGCTTGGAGATTTCAACGCACACAATTTCCTTTGGTATGGAGACCACACCAATCGCAATGGGCGTAACCTTGAAACCTTTATTGACCGGAATAACCTTAACATTCTAAATACCAACTCCCCCACACATTTTTGTGCACGCTCAGGCAAATTTTCAAATATTGACCTCACCATCATCAGCCCCACCCTTCAACCTTTCCTCAGTTGGTATGCTCTCACTGACTCCCATGGCAGTGATCATTTCCCCATCCTTATCAAATCCTCTCTAAAAACTAATTTTTACCCTAGACCTTGCTACTGGCAACTCCATAAAGCTGACTGGGAAAAATTTCAAAACAATGTCCAACTTGAAGACCTGGTACCAGAAGAAACAAATATTGATGACTTAATTGAGAATTTGAACAGTAGGATCCTAAAAGCTGCAGAAATTTCCACCCCTAAATCCAAACACAACCACTCCCTTAAACAACCAGTACCATGGTGGACTGCTGAATGTGCTCAAGCTGTATATGAACGTAAAAGAACCTTGAGAAAATTTCTCCGGAATCCTTCCACAACCAACTTTGAAATCTATTCCTCTGCCAAAAAACAAGCCAATCGCATAATCACAACTAGCAAAAAACAATCGTGGGCTAATTTTCTCACAAAGGTAAATCGGCACACACCCATCAAAGAATTCTGGTCCACTGTTAAAAGAATCATGGGACATGGTTACTCCCCTCCTGTTTCCGTCCTCCAGTCAGGCAATAATTTTATAACTAACCCCAAAGAAATTTCAAACCTCCTTGCAAAGTCGCTTCACGACTCTACACTAACCTCTAACTTCGACCCAAAATTTCAGAATACAAAATCATCAAAAGAATCTACCCCTCTACTTCCTGCAAACCTTGATGACAACGATCCTTTGAACTTCCCTTTCACCCTCTCTGAATTCTCTCTTGCTCTGTCCTCGAGAAAAGACACTGCCCCTGGACCTGATAACATCAGTGTAGGAATGATACAAAACCTTTCAACAAATAATCAAAAAGTTATACTTAACATTTTCAATGAGATTTTTCTAAAAGATAAATTTCCAAAAATCGGGGGCAAAGCAGTAAACATACCAATCCTAAAGAAAAACAAACCCCCTCTCTTAGCCTCAAGCTATCGACATATTGCTCTTACATGCTCTCTGAGTAAACTTCTTGAAAAAATACTAGCCCAAAGACTTAACTGGTATCTCGAATCTCACTTGCTGTTACCAACTTGTCAGAGTGGATTTCGAAGAAATCGAAGCACCATTGACAACCTTGTTATCTTGGATACATATATAATGGAGGCCTTCCGCAACAAAGAAAAAGTTCTTGCTGTTTTTCTTGATATCGAGAATGCATTTGACCGCACTTGGCGACGACTAATTCTCGACTCTTTAATCCATCTCGGTGTCTCTGGTCACATTCTGACCTTTATATCCAACTTTCTGGGTAATAGAAGTTTTCAGGTTCGTTGTGGTAGCGCCATGTCTGATGAATTCTCCCAAGAAAACGGTGTGCCTCAGGGATGTGTCCTAAGTGCTATGATTTTCAGTATATGTTTTAATCAAATCCTTACTTCAATTGATCCACCTGTGCAAGCTCTTTTATATGCCGACGATCTTGTAATATACTGCAAACACAAAAATATAACCATACTTCAACAACAAATTCAATCTACTCTGTCCTCAATAAGTAGTTGGCTCGGTAATAACGGTTTCAAAGCCTCTGAAGCTAAAATGGTCGCTGTACTTTTCTCCAAAAGACAACCCTCTTTTCTCCCCAATCTTAAAATACATAATGCAGTTATACGGTACACAGACTCTGTTCACTACCTTTGGTTTGATTTTTGATAAGCATTTAAATTGGAAACTTCATCTTAAAAATATAAAGCAATCATGTCAAACATCACTGAATCTCTTCCGTCTATTAACTTCCACCCGTTGGGGAGCAGACAGAAATAGCTTGTTGAGGCTATACAAAACTCTTATCC